GACCATGACCTGAATCAAGCGCACCTTAGTCCTCAAACTAACAACATTGTTCCCCAACAATTTGGAGAGGTCTCTGATTGCAGATTTTCCCAGTGCAATACACCTTCTGATCGTTTGACTTGATTGACTTGATCTCTTGTCTTGTCAAATAAGATGAAGTAATTGACAGTTTCATCATGATGTTGCCTGTTGGTCCAGTGGTGAGAATTCTGTTTTCTTTATGTTGAGATGCAGTTCATATTGAAGGCTACAGTGTTTAACCTTCTAGAGCAAATGCTTCAAGTCCTCACTTTGAGCAAGGAAGATTGTGATAGCAAAGGATATTGATTTGTCTTCCTCCAATTCTGATGCCACAGTCTTTATCATAGAGTCTAACTTCTTGAATTATTTTCTCAGCATTCAATGGGCTCAAATGTGTCAGAGATTGTGAGGATGGTACAGGATAGGCCAGAATTCAGTTCTGTTGTTCATATTGTAGCTATAGTTCATATTCATCTTGATGGCAACTAACAAAAACAACAGTGTTGCCTTTATCCATACAATAGCCTCTTGGTCTAGGTATAAGTATCAATTAAATGTTCTGAGATTCCTATTCTTGTCAATGTTAATCATGATTTGTTATTATCCACACAAACACCTTTGTATATAGTCAACAAATACTTCTAGTGCCATGGATTCTTCTAATTCTAGCTTGAGCACACACTTCTAGACCCCAACAGAGGGGGCCAAATCATGCCAGGTGGGACCGCGGAGCCCGGTGTGCAGCCAGCGCAAGGGGGCTGCCTGCTCCCAACATTCTGGCCTATACTGGGTTTGAACCCGTGATCTTGGTGTTTTTGGCACCATGCTCTAACCAACTGAGCTAACCTGCCAAGTTTACCCAGCTATCTATGGTCAACTGATATTCAACAAGGAAATAAAAGCTATCCAATGGGGAAATGATAACCTCTTCAACAAATGGTGCTGGCAAAACTGGACATCCCCCTGCAGAAAGCTGATGCAGAATCCACATCCCGTACCATACAGAAAAATCAACTCAAGGTACATCAGAGGCCTGGGAGTAAAGCCCAAAACCATAATGTTCATAAGAAACAAACTGGGATCAAGCTTAGAAGCACAAGTCCAAGGTATAGAGAGACTGCCAAATACAACCAGAAACATACAAGCTAAAGACGATAAAATTGATGCATGGGACCTTCTAAAGACTAAATGTCTGTGCACATCAAAAACTTTTTCCAACAGGGTGAAAAGAAAACCTACAGACTGGGAACAAACATGTGGTAATACCATCTCAGACTAGAGTTTATAACAAAAGTTTACAGAATACTCTTGGGCTTCCACAAGATAAAGATTTATAACCCAATTACAAAATAGGCAAAAGACATGGAAAGAATTTTCACAGAGGACAATATTCGAATGGCAAACAGACACATGAAGAAATGCTCCAAATCACTGGCAAAGAGATGCAAATCACACCACAATGAGGTACCATCTCACTTCAGTAACAGTGGCAAAGTTTAACAGGGCAGTAAGTAATAGATGTTGGAGAGGATGTGGCAAGAAAGGAACTCTTATACATTGTTCGTGGGATTGTAAAACAGTGCAATCATTCTGGAAGGCAGTTTTTGGCACTTCCTCAAAAAACTGAACATAGAAATTCCATATGACCCTGCTATTCCAGTATTTAGAATACACTCGGAGAAAATGAGAACTGAGGCACAAGCTGAGATTTGTACACTAATGTTCATAGCAGCGTTATTCACCATTGTAAGAACAGGAAACATCCCAAATGTCCAACCACAAACAAATGATTTGAGAAATTATGGGACATTCACACTATGGAATACTAGGGAGCACGCAGGAGCAATAACTTTGTAAATTATTACCTAACTTGGGAGGGACTGGAGAGCATTATGTTGAGTGAACTGAGTACCACAAGGATAAATATTGAATAAAACCATTATTGTAGAATGAGCATAAGGATCCAGGAGGGGTGGGAGAGGCTGGAAGTAAAGGATATGCAGGGGGAAGGGGAGATTAATCATTGGGTTGTACAATTTGATGGGTGGGTGGGTGGGTGAGGGAAATTGAAAGAGTTTGTTCAAATATCTATCTGAATTTTGTAAATAAACTAGTAGAGAAAAAAGAAAACAAAACAGTGAATGAATGGAAATAAAAAATGCATTAAAATAAAAATGAAAAACTAAAATCTTGCTTGAAAACCTAGCAATTCTCTGTGTATATACTGTTCTAGTCATTTCTGAATGATCTTCAGTAGCATTTTTCTTGCATGTGCTGTTAATGATATTGTTCAATAATTTCTACAGTCTGTTAAGTCACTTTACTTGAGAATGGGAACAAAGATGGATCTCTTCTTCTAGTTGGTAGGCCAGGCATCTCTCCTCCAATTTTCCTGGCATAGACTGGTGAGTACATCCAGGGCTGAATCTGTCATGTGAACTATGTTAATAGGAATTTTATTGATTCCTGGGGCTTTATTTTTTTGCCAGTGCCTTCATTGCAGCTTGAACTTCTTCATTCATTACCAATGGTTCTTGATCATGTGGTATTTACTAAAATATTTCAGTGTCAGGCAATTGTGTTTGGTACCATGATTCTGGGGACTCTATCTTCTTTAGATATTTCCTGGATCATTCAACATTTTGCCCATAACATCTCTTAGTATTGCAATTTGAGGCTTGAATTTATTTTTAAGTTCTTTCAGCTTGAGAAATGCTGAACTAATTCTTCCCTTTATTTTCTCCAATTCTAAGTCTCTGCACATTCCATATGAGTTTGCTTTTATCTTCTTGAGCTGTCTTTGAAATCTTCTATTCATCTTTTACTTCAGCATCTCTTCCTTTTGTTGTAGCTCTCAAAGCTCTAAGGAAATTTTTAAGGTCTCTTCTGACATACATTTTGGTTGTCAATGAAGTTCATGGAAGTAAAAATTCATAGAAATCCTCAATTTTCTCATATTTGGCTTTAGTGGCTTGTACTTATAATTGAGTAATAGTTGTATTAAGAGGCCTTCCTTGTATGGGTATGATTAGTATTCTATCACTCACAGCATTGTACTTAAGAACAAATCTTAAAATGTTCTTTTGACTATGAATGTGACACGATTTGTCTTCAGTTTATAATTGTCAGCATAGTATTTCATTTGATTGTCTGTTTTAAAGTGGCCAATACCAGTCCATCTGAACTCACTATTGACTAGGATGTATTATGCCAACTATTTCCTTTTTGAAAACTTTTAGTTTTCCAAAAGTCATGCTTTGTATTCCATGTTCTAATTATTAATTGATGTTTGTGGCTGCTTTTCCTCATTTTTTAGTGTTTCCTAATCCGAATGGCTCTACTTCTGGAACAATAGTAAACAATGTTCCTTTGTTATTCACAGGATTTTGTAACTGCTATTATCTCAAAACAGAGCAAGAAAACACTGCTTGGTTCAAAATCAGGAAAGGAGTGTGTCAGGGATGTGTCCTGTATCCATACCTTTTCAATCTATATGTGGAACAGATTATTCCAGAGGCTGGATTTTATGAGGAGGAATGTGGCATCAGGATTGGAGGAAAACTCACCAACAACCTGTGTTATGCAGATGACATAACCTTGTTTGCTGAAACTGAGGAGGACTAAAGTCCTTGCTGCAGAAGGTCAAGGACTGTAGTCTTCAATATGGATTGAAGCTAAACATCAAGAAGACAATGATTCTCCCCACTGGGCCAACTGACAGCACCATGATTGATAGAGATTGAGGTTGTTAATGATTACAGCTTGTTTGGCTACACAATCAACACTCTTGGCACTAGCAGTTAGGAAATCAAAAGATGAATTGCATTAGGTAAATCTGCTGTCAGGAGTCTCTCTAAAGTGGTAGAGCTTGCTTGGCTACACAATTAACACTTTTGGTACTAGCAGTCAGGACATCAAAAGACTAATTGAATTAGGTAAATCCACTGTTGGGTACCTTTCCAGAGTAATGAGAAGTAACAATGTCAGTCTAGAGATTAAAGTGTGCCAGATCCAGGCCATGGTCTTTGCAATTACTTGCTATGTATCCGAGAGCTGGACAAGGACTAAGAATGACAGAAGAATCAATGTCTTTGAGTTTGTGGTGCTGGAGCAGAGTCTTAAACCACCAAGAAAACTAATAAGTCTGTCTTGGAGAGGGTGAAATCAAGTTTCTCCACAGAGGCTAGGGTTGGTTTTTTTGGGTTTTGTTTTTTTTTTTTTTTAAAGCTCCATCTCACATACTTTGGGCATGTATGTATGTCCTTCATTGGAGAAGGACATCATGCTTGGAAGGGTGGAGGGTCAGTGCAGGAGATGAAGATCCCACGTGAGGTGGATTGATAGAGTAACTGGAGTAATGCGGGTAGGTGTTCCAGAGTCAGGATAGGGCAGGCTTCAGAGTTGTTATACAAAGCACCACTACATAACAACAACAAAATTACCTTGAGTGTTGATTGTGGAGCCAAGTAAAATGAAACAGTCGACAATTTCAATCTTTTCTCTATCACAGTGCTGCCTATCGATCCAGTAGTGAGGAATTTTGTTTTCTTGATGTTGAAATGCAATCCATATCGAAGGTTAAGTCTTTGATCTTTTGCAGTGTTTTAAGTCCTCCTCATTTTCACCAGCAAGATTGTGTCATCTGCACAATGCATATTGTTGGTGAGTCTTTTCCAATCCTAAAGCAAATCCAGCTTCTCGAATTATTTGTTCAGCACACAGATTTGAAAGATATGGAGAAAGGATACAACCCTCACACACACTCTTCATAATTTTATACCATGTTCTGTTCTCTTGCTCTGTACACAGAGGAACACAATTAAGTGTTTTGTAATATCCATTTTTCTAAATGCTATCCAGAATCTGTTATGATCTACACAGAGAGATGTGTTTTGAATAGTCAATAAAATACAAAGAAATATCTTCCTGGTATTCTCTGATTTCAGTCGAGATCCGTCTGACTTTAACAATGTCATCCCTCATTCCAAGGCCTCCTCTAAATTGAGCTTGAATTTCTGGTATTTCCCTGTGGATGCAGTGTTCCAGCTGTTTTTTAAATCATACTCGGAAAGCTTTTACCAGCATGCGATAATAATGATATTGTTTGGTAATTTCTATATTCTGTTGGATAACCTTTTTAGGGGGAATAGGAACAAATATAGAACTTTTACAATTGGCCAGGTCTTTTGAATTTCTTGGCATATTCGGGGCTGTAATTCTTTGTTAAAATATGTCAACTGGTATTCTATAAATTCCTGGGGCCTTATTTATTGTCAGTATTTCAGTGCATTTTGAACTTCTTTTATTACTATTGGCTTTGGATCATATGCCACTTCCTGAAATGGTTCCATGTCAGTCAATTCTTTTTGGCAGAGTGACTCTGTGTAATTCTTTCATCTTCTTTTGATGCTTCTTGTATTACTCAAGATTTTACCCGTAGAACTATTTAGTATTACAATTAGAGCTTTGCATTTGTTTTCCATTTCCTTCGAATTGGAAAAACTTGGACCTTATTCTTTCCATTTGATTTTCTAATTCTATCTGTGTGCACATTTTATTATAATATTTTTACTTTGTGTCCTCGTGCTGCTTTTTAAAGTCTTCTGTTCTTCTCTTTCACGTCAGCATTTCTTCTCTTTGATGTCTCTACTTTCTAGTGCAATTTTTCAAATTCAAGAATTTAGTTATAGCCAATCATTTGGAGGCAGTATAAGAGAACAGACAAATCAAGACATCCTATCTGTATTAGAATTCCAACTTTGCCACTTAATAACTAATTTAATCCCAATTGTGCATCAGTTTTTGTGTCTATAAAATAGGGACATAAAACTGTCTAGGTTACAAAATGTGA